GTGTGTGTGTGTGTGTGTGTGTGTGTGTGTGTGTGTGTGTGTGTGTAAAACTGGAAGAATACACTTATACTTTAAAAAAAATTTATTCTATAGGTTCTTCAGCCGCTTCAACAGCGATTCTTGAATGTGATAAATCAAGAAAACTTTCAACAGATCTGTCAGGAAGAGGAGGTGAAACAGGAAATCACTGCCACACTAGAAGCACTTTGTGGCATTGCTGAGGCTACCCAAATTGACAATGTAGCAATCCTCTTTAATTTTCTAATGGACTTCCTCAACAATTGCATTGGATTAATGGAGGTGTACAAAAACACACCAGAGACTGTTAACCTCATAATAGAAGTCTTTGTTGAAGTTGCACATAAACAAATATGCTATCTTGGAGAGGTAAATACTGCCAAAGAGGGGAGGAAAGGGAAAGTGTAAAATAATCATTCTCTGAACATAGTAAGCCTGAATGTTTTTTTAGATGCTGGGTTGGAAGAAAAGTTGTACAGCTGAGCTCTCTTAAATACCTGTAGAAGAATGAACATGTGTAAACATTACCCAAGAGATTAAAACAACCTTTTGATCTTTTAAAAGAATGCATCTACTAATTTTATTTTTGATATATATCAAAATGTAATCTGCTAAGGAGCATACCACAATGTTTATACTTTAAAAAGTGATAAGTATCTTTAAAGGAAGACATATTCAATGCAACAAGCACATCCAGTTACAGGTTTCCACTATAATAAAACCTAAGTACATTGACTACAGACAAGGAAAATGGAAGGCATAATGCACAAAACATTTGGTATACTAAATTCACATTTTCTAGTCAGGGGAAATGTGTATGTGCATTGTCTCTGCAAGAGTAATCCAACAGGATAGGGCATATCCTACTAAAATTGGCCATAATTTTATCAGTTGTGGAGCTGGACTAATAATGAAACTGAAGTGCAGAGCAGGCTGGTATGTGTGTGGTTTCTTTTAAAAAATTTTATACCACATTAAATTTTTTCTAGAGATTAATCTAGGGCAGGGGTAGGCAATTATTTCGGGTGGAGGGCCGCTTACTGAGTTTTGGCAAACCATTGAGCGCCGCATGACAGGCAGCCGGGGCAGATAAATATTGATTTTTCTCAATTTTTTTAGGGGCCCCACAGGCCGAATAGAATGGCCTGGTGGGCCAAATCCAGTCCACGGGCCGCATTTTGCCCACCCCTGATCTAAGGCAAACTTTCACTGCTTTTTCCACTGATGCAAATCCATAACGTAGACCTGTTGTATTGGTGCTACACTAGTAAGATACCAGGAAAGTTGGATCAGTGCAATGCAAATTTCTTAATATAGATAAACTGTACTTATTACTGTTAGATCTGCACTAATATGGTTATAGCTACAAAATTTGCTTGTATCAACATGCTCTTTAGCTTTTGAGTGAGTATTATAAGCTTTTTCATGATATGACAAGAAATGTTGGCCTGTTCCAAACTATTCTATGTAGGTAGATTCTTAATTTATAATTTTGTTACATCTAAGGAACTTGCCAAAGGCAAGGTTATATTATTTTAGTGTTGGAAGACACGTCAGGGTGGCGCCTTAGAGACTTGACTCATTCAGAGGTGCATAAGCTTTTATAGGCAACAGCCTATTTTGTCACAGCATTTGATGATGGTAGGCTGTTCCTGTGAAAGCTTATGTACCTCTTTATTGGCCTCTAAGATGCCATCTTGCCATGCCTTCTGCCTGACTTCAGACTAACTTGGCCAGCTACCTATTTCTATCGTAGGTGGTAAAACATTAATAAATGGGCATGATACAGGTTTCCCTCATTTTTATGCAGGTTCTGTGTGTGCAAATTTGCGCTTATGCAATAACCCTTTTTATACCAAAAATTCATTATATGCGAGGTAAATTCACTCTTATGCAATCAGTGTGGTGGAAGCCTGCAGTCAGCTACTTTGTATGGCACATTGTGGGAGTGACATGCACCAAATTATAGTCTCCTGTGTGGATCTGTGCTCCTCACTAGTCTGCGACACGTGTTTCTGTAGTTGCCATCCCCATTATAATGGTGCCTTGTGCTTGTGTGTACTGTCTGCTGTTGGTGAGCACCAAAATTGTTTTGTAAAAGTGGTTGAAATGGGTCTAGGGGTCAGTACAGTCAAGGTTTTGGAACATATCCCTATTTGTTACATTGTCAAGTGGGTTCCCTTTATGCGAATTTGAGTTATGCACCATTTTCCAGGAACGCATGTACAGCATAAAGTGGGGGAAACCTGTATTTATATTACTTAGGGCAGGGGGGTGTCCAATATATGGCTTAAAGGCCAGATCCAGCCCACATTCAACCTATGGGGCTTCTCACTATGGCTGCCAACAGTGAAGGAGCCTCTGTGTCAGTGCCAAAAGTGAAGGAGCTAAACACTGCCACTATCACTTAACCCCCCTGACTCTTTCAGCATAGCAGCTTTGACAAGGGGGGTTGACCTGGCTGTGGTTTTAACTATTTGGTTGCCGTTGCCAACACAGTAGCCCTGGTTGCAGTGAGAAGCCCCAGGGCCCAGGTCTGCAGGTGGGTCATAAAGAATGATGTAAAGAATATCCATTGTCTTGATATTTTTAACGTCAGTTATATTATGCTAAATAGTAATGAATAATAGAACTGAAATTAAGATAATTGATATACTGTCAGCCAAGCAGAACCAGGCTAAACACCAACGTAAAATATTCTAGTTTTAGAATATAGGATTTTACTTTCAATTTTTTTCTCTGTTGCAGGCCAAAGCCATGAATTTGTATGAGGCCTGCCTAACTTTGCTTCAGGTGTATTCCAAAAATAATTTAGGTAGGCAGCGTATAGATGTTACAGCAGAAGAGGACCAATACCAGGATCTTCTTCTTATTATGGAGCTTCTTACCAACCTTCTGTCAAAAGAATTTATAGATTTCAGTGATACAGGTAAGAAGGGATTTTAAGAATTGGTGAGCTATAGGGTGGTGTTGAGCTGAAATTATGGCCTGTAAAATAACTGTCTTTGGTGGTATGAGTAATCATCTGAATTTTTTAATCAGCAAAAAATATCATGGAGTGAGAGCTACTTATCTAAGCACTACTTATCATATAATTCATTTTCTTTTAACACTTCTAAAATGCCCTTTTATATTCAGTACTGAATAACTTGGTCTGAAGTAGACAGAGCCTCTAAAGTGCCATTGTTTTGTTTCTAGAGATCAGAAAACAAGCACAGTGAATTCAAAATAAGGACTAATTGAAAAGAAATATACTTTTGTCTAATACCAGGTCTTGATTCTGTGATATACTCTATTTCTAACTTCTGTTTACTTTCATTTGTATGAAAGAATGCTCAGAAAGTTGCCTGAAAGGGCACTTTTACATGCAACAGAAATTGGCCGTTTTTGCTGTTGGATGTGTCACACTGTACACGTATGGGGATTTCTTATGATTTAAATAAGTTTGCTATGTTGCAAACTAAACTGTATCTGCATGTAGTTTAGTTTTCAGTGTAGCTATTTGTAACATTGCAGTCTTTGATAACTCACCCCCACCCCCTTTCTCCCTACCACAGGAGAGAGGGGCTTAAGGCAGAAGCAGTGAGGGGCCTGTTTCCTTCTCTTTTTTTTCTTTTTCACGGAGCCTACCTGCATCTCCTGTGGCTGGGGGCGAGCTGCCAGTGGGCCAAGAGGCCCCTGAGCTGCAAAGGGCCCCAGTCCTTCCTTCTGCAGCAGAGGTGCCCCCTGGGGCTATCCTGTGCGGGTGCTGCCCCAGCTTGGTCTCAGGGAACAGTTTCATAGTTTCTAGGGTCGGAAGAGACCTGTGTAGATCATC